AGACACAATCAAAGCAACAAAAATCCAACTCCTATATAACTTTTTTTTCGCTACATGGGGGCTCGCCTTATTAACGACATATACCCTCAACTTATCTAATTCTCGTTCGCTTTGTCCAGTTACATTATTCTTCGCCTGTCGACAGTACGCTGATTCGTCCAGTCATCCCTTCCCGACTCCCAGTTCCCTCTTCAACAACCATTCCTCAACTTCTCCAACTCTTGGTTCGCATCGCTCAGTTACTTTATTCTGTACCTTTCGACAGTACTCCGAGCTCGTCTTGTCATTCATTCCCGACACATATTTCCATATTTACCAACTATTCTGTTTCATCATGACCTCCACAGTGTACCTCGCTCTTATTCAAACACGAGCCGCCTTCCTCAACCAAATGCTCGATGCCCTACAATATCCTGACATTGAGGCACTAATGGCCTCTGATGATCCTGACACTGCCTTTCGATCACAACTCCTCGTGGTCGAAGCAAACATTCGCAAACTCAGTCGTTCCATCACTCAAATTGACGACACTCACGCTGCTTGGATCGCTGCTATTCAACAACTTCGACCCGCTGAACGCACGGGCGAAGCCGACAGCTACCGAGACGCAACCACAACCTCGGATAGCTTCTTATTCGTTCTGGAACGCGCTCACAACGCTCTCGATGACCTGCACACCGCAAAACTCAATCTCGAACTCAGAATCGGACGTTCAACCTCGCCTGCTGGCAGCGTTCCATCCGGAAGTGTACCAGTCAATACAAACGATCAATCCGGCAGTGTACCAGTGAACACAAACGACCAATCCAGAAGTGTACCAGTCAATACAAACGACCGCATCCCGATGCAGCCGAACAACCACCTTATCAATCTACCGAAGCTACAAATCGCTAAATTCGACGGTGACTACCGTAGATGGCCACAATTCTGGGCGACATTCGAGCATGCCATCGACACACAGCCAATCACCGACGTCGAAAAGGTAGCTTATTTGTTATCTTATCTAGAAGGAAGAGCCCTTGAGGCAGTCGCGGGCTACACGGTAGCCCCAGAGCATTACGAGTCAATCAAGCAAACACTACGGGAAAAGTTTGGTCGGCCACAAACACTACTGAAGGAACTGTATGCGGAACTACAAGAGATGCCGTCTTCGAAAAAAGACAACAGAGATCTGGCTGAGTACGTAACAAATATCGAACGTGTC